GCTGGATAATAGGGAAATTACTGTGGCATGTACATTCTTCCATTTCTTAGTTTTCAAAAAATCATATCTTTTGACTTCATACAATAGAGGCGGATCAATGTTTCTAAGATGACCTCCAGCCCAATCTCAACCTCCCTTTGTGGGAGCTGCTCTCCTTATTTTTAAGACTTTTTACCATTCAATGTGTTGGGAGAAGGATGTAGAAATCTTACACTTATGGCTCTTCGCTTAGGCTTCTAATTCATCCTCCTGTTTTCAGCTCTAGCCTTCAGAGGTGCAAGGTGCCTCCAATTTCTGAACTTTAACCAATCGGTGTCTTACAGCTTCTTGAAAAGAAGCTCTGGTTTTTTCTAGTCCACTAAGTCACTGACCACTGACCACCTGCTTCCCAGCTTTAGAAATTTTGCTAAGGTCTTTTCTGCAGCCTCCTGGCCTCTTCTTTTGTACTTGTTGGCTTATGCCTTAAAAAAACTAATTTTGTGTTGTCTTTTTAGTGGGATATAAGGAGAGAGGGACTGGGCAAAAGCAAATGAAACATGTTTTGAGAGTGTGAAGGCCATCTGGCTGCAATAACTGTCAGCCCATTAATCACCAGGGTTGATTGAGCTGATCTGGCTGGGCGGGGGCCGCCTTCCTCCCTCTCTGCTCCATGTGCGTCCCTCCAAAAGCTGCAAGCTTGGCAGCAGAGGATGACCTTCCTCAATAGAGGAGCACTCTTTGGTCAGGGTGTACAAGCAGCTGTGCTCCCCTGCTAGAACTTCCAAGCAAGCTTCAAGGTTCAAATAAAATGTTTTTAAAGTGTAATGTTTAACCAGAAAACCTGAACATTTCCACACAGAGATTTCACAAGAATTGTGTCCAAAGGCAGGCAGGAAGACAAAGTATTATTTGATGAATGAGTGAGCCATATTGCCCTTGTCTTATAGATGAGGAAACAGACGATTAGAGACACAGTTTAAGTAACTTATCCAGAGATAAACAGCTCATTCACAGCAAAAGAAAGACTGGAGCTTAGGTTTTCTTGTGTCCAATCATCTTCTATAGAATGCATTCAAACAAAATAAGCAGTTACAATTCAGGATAACTTCATTATAATCATATGAAAAGCTACATCCAGAAGAAGAGACCCTTTCACACTCAAAAGTATGAGCCAAATATCTCTAACTTAAACTCAGATCTAAATCCTTCTAAATCCCTTCACAAAGGATGCTAATTGTTTCCACGTTCATTAATCTAGCCCATCCTCAGTTTAATACAATGAACTCTAAACAGACTAAACTCTCAACTCTGGAGTACGACACGAAGACAAAATACTCTGTAAAACACCTTCTGTATTTATACACATACTATTACATATTACTTAAAAATGATATTTAAGATAATTTATTATGACTTGGCAATATAATCCTGAAACTTATCTGGAAAAAAATCATAGGTAAGTCCTGACCAAAAAAAAAAAAAAAAAGAGAGAGAGAGAGAAAGAACCAGCTCTATCAAATATTAAGACATTTTAGAAAACTATAGTAATTAAGACAATGTAATCGAGTCTGGGAAGAGACCTATATGTATAGAAATGTAGCTTATCATAAAGTTGTTGCACTAAACCAATGCAGGAGAGAGTTCAATGAATCATGATAAACTAGGCATCTACCGTGAGAAAAATCAGAACTAGATCCTTCACTTTTTTCATAAAAATAAATTTTATAGACATTGAAGATTTGAAACTCAAGGATGAAACTAGAAGTTTTCAAAGGAAGCATAGGAAATTTATAAACTTGAAGTGAGGGAGGTCCAAAGAATCATAAAAAGGAAAAGATTGATAAATTTGGCTTCATTAAAAATTCAAAGCCTCTGCTTAGGGGAAAAAAATGCCATAAACAAAATCAAGAAACAAACTGGTAGGGTTTATGATACACATATGCTATTTTTTTTTCTTTTTTTAAAACTATTTTTATTTTGAGACACAGTCTTGCTCTGTCGCCTGGAGTAGAGTGCCGTGGCTCATAGCTCATTGCAACCTCTAACTCCTTGGGCTCATGGGATCCTCCTGCTTCAGTCTCCAAGTAGCTGGGGCTAAATTGCATGCCTCAATACCTAACTAATTTTTCTAAACTTTTATATAGTTGGGACTTGCTATATTGCTCAGACTGCTCTCAAATTCCTGGCTTGAAACAGTCCTCATGCCTCGGCCTCCCAAAGTGCTAGGACTACAGGCATGAGCCACTGCACACAGCCTCAATATTCTTTCATTCATTCATTCAACAAATATCTGAAAACCTAATGTGAGCCAGGCTTGGATCTATGTGATGGAGCCATAGTGGTGAATAAGACAGTTGAGATCTTTGCTCCTTTAGAGTTTTTATGATCTAGAGAAAGGAAACCCATAAACAAATGAGAAAAATATCCAGTCTTACTCCTATGGAGAGGATTAAAACACAAACTGACAGGAGATTCATTGAACTCAGTGACTATTTTAGGTTGGGGCTCAGGAAACAGCTAAGGGACTCTTATAAACCAATAAAGACAAGACAACAATGAAACAGAAAAAGAGTCAGAGGATAGGAACAGGCATTTCATAGATAAACTAGAGATTGCCTGGAAATTCAGAACGGTCATCTTCACCCATAATCAAAGAAATAGGAAGCAAAACAATGAGATAAAACTTTTTTTGCATTATATTGGCAAAGATGAGAAAAGTTTGACAGAGGATCAGGTACAGTCCAACACTCTGATGTAATGTCTAACTTAGTGCAAACTAATTTTGGTTTTGCAGGACAGTTTAGCAATAACTATCAAGATGTACAACGTGCACATACTTTGCAGACGTGTTCAAAGATATGTGTATATGGATATTCAGAGTTGTTTACTGAAACTGTAAAAGTTCAGGAAAAATATCAATGCCTACCAATAAGGAACTGGTACAATAAGTTATTACGTCCACTCAGTGGATATTATGAAACAGTTACAAAAAATAAGGTAGACTTTTTTGCAAGGTGGTTGTAGGGAGAGGCTTATGAAGAGATCTCAAAAATACATTAAGTGATAAAAGATGGGTTCAGAACAGTTTTCCTGGGACCCTTCCATACAAATAGAAAATATATACACACATCCATTTCCCCTTTTATGTTGGTGTATATCTTATTTAAAACATCTTTTTGGCTGGTCACAGTGGTTTATGCCTGTAATCCCAGCACTTTGGGAGACCAAGGTGGGAAGATCACTTGAGACCAGGGGT